ATGCATGTCTGTAAGTGTGAATGGCTGCGACCTGGCTTGCATGGGCATTGTAAATTGCCTTGCAGCGTCTGCAAAAGTGCATCGACCGAAATGGTGACTACGTAGAGAAATAAGGCAGTCTTTGTCCTTCACATTGGTTCAGATTTCCCTCTATTTTATAAACGGCTAACTTGGTAAAATGAAGTGAGTTATAAGGCAGCTAATGGAACAAACAAGCCGCTAACAAATCTGGGTAGCGACTCGCAAGACTCGAGCTATCAATGTTTTGTATGGGATAATTGCGCACACTTCCGGTCATTCCACATGGTGCTGCGGGGAATGGTCAACAGAATCGTCAGCTCGCCGCGCCGCCGCGCGCGGCCTAATCTTGCGGCGAGGGGGCGGTGCCTTTAGGACGAGTGTTGTCTCCATCGACTATTGAGTACGATGTAAGTTTCCATTCTGTGCCTATGACTACTACGATGCCTTGCATTGCGGAAGGAAACTGGAAAGGCTCACTCCACCGAACTATGAAGAAAATTCAATGAATGCCCACGACTGCTTCCAAGTGTTCATAATAGATAAGCCTTCCGTCATAGCTTCTCGAAAATCTGGACTTCCATTTATGGTTAAAAACTCCCTCAACATTGAGATCTCGTTCGTCTCGGAGATTTGAGCAGCAAAGCATCAAGTCTTTAAAAATATTTATTAAAGCTCTAATCAAATACTAGTAGAAATACGAGTCTTTAATCTCAACTCTGAAATCTACTACAAGTTATAAAGATAGTAACTGCTGAACAGTCACAAGTACGTGTCTATCTTCTGCCAAATACAATTAGTGATCTAGATCTATCGGAAGAATGGTTGTTCACGATTAATACTGAGGAAAACGATAAATATTACTGTGAAATATTTCTCAATGACAAGCTGAGTGATTTTATAAAACCTGTCTGTAGATACCAGTAATAAATCCATGCATGTATCTTCTCTCCAAATAGAGAATAATTAACGTTTTTCAAAGATATCGTTCACAAAAGCAGCAGCACATATCTTAACCTATTCCTAGTGAAAAGTGAGTACATATAGAGAAAGTAATGGAAAATTCGCGCTCTCACAAAAGAATTGAAATATCTGAGATGCTTGCAAATCCCCGCTAAGCTAACGAATGACTAGTAACAACGCATGGCTGCCCAAATCAGGCGGAATTTGTGATAGTCACACTGCCTGCATGTAGGTTTAAACATGGTCTGTCCAGGAAAGTTTTAGCCATGCCCACATTACTTCTTCACAAGCGACCCCCCCCCCTTTTCCGATAATGCCAAATCCCGTGAACGATACCTTTTAAAGTTGATAAGAGAAATAGAGAAAGCTCTGCTGTAATCATCACCATGCACGGGAAGAAGTTGAGAGGCTTCAGTAACGAGAATCTTTGTCCGTTTTATCCTGTAATTCACATACTCTCAAAAGAAAGCGAGATAACGCTGTTCTGAGAAATGATAGCAACTTTCTGTGGGAGAGTGGTACATAGCAGGTAGGGGAGACGGTCAATTCAATCGTCGGCTAATGAGGTCACGCCGCTCACGCGGCGGGCAGCGTCGCGCGCGGCAAATGGTGCGGCGATTTTAACAGGTAGCGGTAGTATCACATACATACATCAAAATCCCAGGAGGTGAATGAACCCCATGCTTACAGTACTGCTAGGGTCATTAGTGTGCGCTCCTTAGCAGAATAAATTCGGCGAACCGTATAGGTTAGTTGTAAAAAGTTGGTTTATTAACAAATCAACAACCTCATTATCCATGGAGCTCTGTCGGGAACCACTTTTCTCGTCGATTTTTTCCAACCCTGCATTGCTGGTTTTATGATTTCGGTTGTCTTCATTGTTGGATTTATGGTTTTGAACACCTGAAGATAGTATAACACTTGAGAATGGCGGTTCTCACTAATGAACCACATACGGATAATTCGCAATAGTTTTGAGCACTCATAGAACTCCTTTGTTCTGTTGGACTTTGAGAACCACACACGAATGTCAGTGGAGTTCAAGTTCATGGCGCATTTGAACTCGTACTAACCGTGTTCGTTGGCTCGTGACCACTCGCGTGGGAGTTTCACCATAGTTCACCAAATGTACAGCACCTTGATTAACAGGAACAACTGAACTTCGGCGTCGCCTGAAACGTTTTGCTCATTTCATCTATTGCTGGGCTTTGGTTCAAGAGTAGACCACGTACGGTACATTGAAGAACTCCGAGATTTTGTCGATGGTTGAGGGCCTACGCGAACCGGAACATTTCCTGTAAATATTTGGATCTCATTGGAGTTGAATGGGGAAGGGCGTTTGTCTCAAAATCCTTAGTCTGATTCACATGAACAGGCTAAAGTGGAGGCTATGCCCTTTAGCATTTCACCTACCTTCATCATGTTTCCCCACATCGACAGACACCATTTTGACGTGATCTTCTGGCTTAGCAACCCTACAATTTCGAAGTGTAATAGCTGCGGTCCAAATGATACCAATACTGCGCCGAATGAATCATTACAATCGAAATCTACACTTTATGCCTGAACAATCTGGCAAAAGTGGCGAAATTTTGGAGAACCTCAGCCGCATACCTGAGAATTCGATTCATGGAAATCATAAAACGCCTCTGTTCAATGAGATTTTTGGGCGAACCCTATATGAACTTCACACCTACCCTTTTGTACAACTGTGCCCTATGACAGTAGTAGAACATTGCATTGGATGAAATTCGTCACAGAAAATGTCTGAGCCCTTCGCCACCACAAAGATCCTCCCTGAGTTAGACGGAGCTGCTTAGCAAAGGCAGGAAATGTACCGGAATCAGCGCTATCGCTTTGTTATTTGTTCACAAGTGGCAGTCAAGTCGTAGTGAAACGTTTTGGAAGACGTGTTGTCTGCGTCGCGCATGCCGCAGTGCTTTTTCGCCTCTTCTCTCTCCTCGGCGCCTGATGCCTCTTGATTGTATCTTTGTCCAATGCATACAGGACCACAGCGCCTCCTTGTTATCACGGTCAACCGTCGCGTCCGCACTTTTCCACAATTTTTGCGATACCCCCAGAGAGGTCTTGATGCGAGACCCCCAAGCACCACCACCATCAGGCTTACAAGTCTCCCTAATGCCATCCTTCTCCATTACCTCGATCACTGCACTCGCTGTCATGGCTACTTCTATAATGTTTGATTATGAGACCACTCGACACTGCAAAATCTGCCCACGTTTTCCCCCAACGCGGCACCCGATAGAGTTGGGAGGGGGCGGGCACTCTCCCAAGCCGTGGTTAAAATGCGATCCCTTGTTCAAAAATTGCGAACGGATGATTGACCCTGCTTCTTATTGGTCGGCCCCTTTTACAACTACACTTTCGTTTCTGAGCGCACCAACCGTAGCACCGTAGCAGCGCCTTTGAAGGAATGATTCAATGCCCATTCTACCGCACTGATCCGCCCAGATGTTTGAAGTAATCGTTCAATCGAAAGCGCAATCGATAAGGTGCACTTTTAGAGACCCACTCTGAGATGCAGTGTTTCAGAAGTCACATAAAAGCAACTAACTCGATGCCTTCTGCTGAGCCGATCAACGTGTTGTCACCACCCCAGCGATGGCTTTCTTCCGAGTAAACCGGGTGATAATTCGGATCCGAGAGGCGGTCAGGAAGCAGATCTGGACAGGTGTCATGTGTGTTGTCAACTATAGAGAGCCCGGTCTGTAAAAAAGAATTTTTCGTGCTGATTCAGCGCTCCTTAATCTTACAAGCATTTCGATGCTCATTACGGACATTATATGAAAAGCATTCAAAGAAACTTATTAAAAGGACTTGTTAAAAATTTAAACAGAAGTCTCTCGTTTGAGCTCCGCCGACCATGCGACAATATCACATGCCAAAATAAATAATAAATAAATTGAAAATAATTTGACATAGGCCGTTTGCCTTTTTGTATAAATGCTGGGTCTCTGTTTTGTTGAAAGCTCAAACAAAGAAATAGTATTAGGTCGGTCCATAATTTTTGAGAACCTTTGGTGTTTTTCGATTCAATTACTTATCTTATTTCTCTGATGTACTTATTCAGCATAGTATACATCACCATTATTACCAACATATAACCAATGCGAGGGTGGGTATTCAGTGTCTCTCTTATAGAATTTCATAGAGTTCTGATCGAAGAAATATTGGATGTCGATTTTGACTTTATGGTGATTCAAGTGATTTCTTCTCCAGAAGGTGATTGAGAGAGGGAGAGCGGATAGTCGTTCGTTGACGCAGGATTAGTGCTAGTGCTAAGGCGGAGCTAAAAGAACTGACCGCCCGAGAGTCTCCAATTTTTTAGGAATTTTCTTAGCAAGGCGGGCTCGAACGACCTCAGAAGAAAAATAGATTTTGTCTTCCTTTGCTTTCAAGTTGAAGGCGTTGCCATCAAGCTGTCAACGATTCTTCCCATCACTGACACTGGTATTAGTTGATGCCGGTCTTCAGCGCAAAGGCCCTCCCGTATTGCGCCAACGACTCAGGAAGTTCGAATTCAGAGGGAGTTGGGTTTTTACTGTCAGAACTCCCGAATCGTTTGAGCAAATCTACTGCGGCTCGTGGATTTGTTAGCACACTGCACCCAGTCCACATCACCAATGAGTATTATAGATGGTCATCCGAAGGAACTATGGGAAACCAACAGGAACTTGATGATGTCAGATTGGGTTGAGAACTGATTCGGGACTACAATTTTCCTTCGATCAGAACTCTATGAAAGTCCACAAGAGAGGCACTGAATACCCACCCTCGCATTGGTGATATGTTGTTAATAATAATGATGTATACTATGCTGGATAAGTAGATCAGAGAAATAAGATAAGTAATAAATCGAAAAACACCAAAGGTTCTCAAAAATTGTGGACCGACCTAATAAAACCTGAGATAACTCGTACTCGTATAACTTATGCT